TTTCTGCTGCAGCCACGTTATCCTGCAGTGCTGGGGTGACGGCCGGTCCAGAGCGCGGGGGCGGGGGGGGCGGTAGGGGGTAGGGTGCGTGTACCCACCTGTCCCCATCTGGCCGGCCCCACTGGGCACATCCCTCTGCCGCCGGCCGGCCGACTCTGCAGGTCTCTGCGGGTTTGGGGGGGGGGGCAGTCGTGACGGTTGGGCAGGAGTTTAGCTCCTAGCCCCTAGCCCCTACTCCATCGGGTTCTTCTTCCCTCTGCTGGGCGGCCAGAGCCCCACTAGGTCCCCCCAGGACTCCACGGGCTCCAGGGCTCCACACCAGAGTGGGGGATGGGGGTCTGCCCACCCCATTCCCAAGTCTCCTGCCCCAAGGTGGGGCATCCGCCTGCAGCTGTGGCCTTGTCTCCCCAGGTCTTGGGGCCCGGGGTCCTGCCGGAGCTCTGCGCTGGGGGAGCTCACTCCAGGTGGGGGATCCGGAAGCCCCCGAGGTCATGGAGCCCAGCCGTCTTGTGAGGGAGAGCTCCGGGGGAGAGGTCCGAAAGCTGCAGCTAGACACCAGGGTCCGCCAAGAGGCGCCAGGGGGCCCGGTGAGCGGGGCTGCGTGGTGGGGCCCCCGAGGGCTGGAGCAGGCCTTAGAGCCCAAGGGCCACTGGGGGCTCGGGGTAACCAGGGGAACCAGGGTCTGGGTGCCTCCTCTGCTGCCGGCTCCTGCACAAGGTTTCCCCTTCTGCACAATGGCTATCAGGTGGGTGCTGAAGACACTGATGAGGACACTGGGCCCTCTGGGCTCCAGGCCCCCCTCCTATCTAGGGGATCTTGTCCTCAGCATTCAGGGATCCTGGGATGTTCAGGTCTTGGGTCAGCCTTCCACTGGCCCCCAGTCCCCTCCTGCCAAGGCAAGTCGTTCTGCTGAAATATGAGGCTGGAGTGGCGTGGGTGGGCAGGGGAGAAGCCCAGTTCCCAGTTCTCCCCGCAGCTGCCTTCAGTGGGCTTTCTTGAAACAGCTTAGTGCTTGCTCTAGCCTCAGTTTCCCACTGTAAACAGACAGGTTTGTGACTCTCCTTCCTGCCGTCCCTGACAGTGGGGATCTAGAAAGTCTCGTTTGGGGCCCCAAGCTCACCTACAAATGCCAGCTCCACCCGCCCCCTGTCCTTTCAGCTGCCAGGCCCCTCCCGCCTCCCAGAGGAAGGTTAGGAATGAAGGAGATTAATTGCAATTAATAATTAATTAATATCATGTGAATAATAATCACCCATATGGAATATTCATTCAGCACGCCTCAGCTGTCCAGGAGCTTGAAGCTGAAAGTTAGCCAGGCCAATGGGGATGGTGGAGGGTTGGGAGGTGGAGGCCTGGCAGAAATAGGAAGTGTAGAGGAGTGACTCAGAGGAGGGGTGCACCCCAGTCTGGGAAGTTTGGGCAGCCAAGAGTGGTGGGAGGTAAATTGTGATGGGCAGAGGGAGGAAGGAGGGAATTGGAGGCTAACATTGCGGACATCTGTCAGACTGGCATCTGGCCCTGCCTAATGTACTTGGTTAAAAGCCCTTAAGGAAGGGTGGTGGAGGGGGATGTGGGGTGGTGCATTGGGTGGGGAAATGGAATGGAGCAGGAAGGAGCATGCATAATAGATGTACCATCACTCAGGGCAGTGCTGAGGCGGGGGAGGGGTTAATGGTTCTGAGCTGCTCTGGGGGTGGGGGTGGGGGTGGCTTCAGCACACGCCCAGGCTCCCTGGGAGGCAGGTGGGTGGCCAATGGGGATGTCGCAGGGCCAGGGACGGGTGTCCTGGTTGCGGTCTGGCCCTCAGTCAAGCTTTCTTCCCTGGAGTTGCACCCTGCCTTGGCACTGTGCATCCCAAGGTTGCATGGCTGGGAGCTGGCAGCCCTGCTTGACTGTTGGGACTCCTGGCTTGTGCTTTAGGCTAAGCCAAGATTTGGGGATGGGATGATGCCACGGTAGGGTCAAGGGGCAGAGATGAGGGAAAGTGTGGAGCCAGGTGGGGATGAAAAATGGGGTGCCCCAACTGCATAGGTTGCTGCTTCAGCCTAGTCCTTACCAAAGAGAGGGAGAGAGTGTGTGTCCTGGGTGGGGGTTGTGGTTATGTGGTACCGGAGACCCTGTGTGAGGAGAGCAGCACAGGTGCATTTGGATTGGATGGCTCTGGTGTGCAGAGGAGTGTGTGTGGGGGTCTCTTTGGATGTCACTCCACTGGGTGAGTGGGTAGCATGTGTGCACATGTGTGAGTGACTATGTCTGAACACGCCTAAGGGGGAGTCTGAGGACATGAAAGCTGGGCACAGGGTGCTATATGGGGCAGTGGTCATCTCCAATGGTTGTTTGTCTGGGTCTGAGCCTTCCCAGGGCTTCACTGAAGCCTCCCCAAAGGCCCTGCCTTATCTGTGCCTCAGTTTCCCATGAAGGGGAGGTCTGCCTTGGTGGGCAGGGAGAAGGACTACCAAGGTGGTGGACTTCTCTGGGCCGAGCACACTGCTAAGCTTTTATACACGTTGCATCACTTAATTCTCATAACTCTGTAAGGCAGGTAAATCTTTTTGTTTTCTTAATTGTGCTTTAAGTGAAAGTGTACAGTTCAAGTTAGTCTCTCATACAAAAATTTATGCATGCATTGTTATGTGACCCTAGTTGCTCTCCCTATACTATGACAGCACACTCCTCCTTTCCACCCCAGATTTCCCGTGTCCATCCAACCAGCCCCTGACCCTCTCTGCCTTCTCATCTCGCCTCTGGACAGGAGCTTCCCATTTAGTCTCACGTGTCTACCTGAGCTAAGAAGCACACTCTTCAAGAGTATCATTTTATGTCCCATCGTCCAGTCTAATCTTTGTCTGAAGAGTTGGCCTCGGGAATGGTTTTAGTTTTAGGCTAACAGAGAGTCCGGGGGCCATGTCTTCTGGGGTCCCTCCAGTCTCAATCAAACCATTAAGTTCGGTCTTTTTACTAGAATTTGAGTTCTGCACCCCACTTTTCTCCTGCTCCGTCAGGGACTCTCTGTTGTGTTCCCTGTCAGGGCGGTCATTGGTGGTAGCCGGGCATCGTCTAGTTCTTCTGGTCTCAGGCTGATGCAGTCTCTGGTTTATGTGGCCCTTTCTGTCTCTTGGGCTAATACTTACCTTGTGTCTTTGGTGTTATTCATTCTCCTTTGCTCCAGGTGGGTTAGGACCAACTGATGCATCTTAGATGGCTGCTCCCTGCTTTTAAGACCCCAGATGCCACTCACCAAAGTGGGATGCAGAACATTTTCTTAATAAACTTTGTTATGCCAGTTGACCTAGATGTCCCCAGAAAGCATGGTCCCCAGACTCCTGTCCCTGCTACTGTGTCCCTCGAAGTGTTTGGCCGTATTCAGGAAACTTCTTAGCTTTGGTTTAGTCCAGTCGTGCTGACTTCCCTTGTAGTGTGCGCTGTCCTTCCCTTCACCTAAGATAATTCTTGTCTACTATCTAGCTAGCAAATACCCCTCTCCCTCCCTCCCCACCCTTGTAACCATCAAAGAATGTTTTCTTCTGTGTTTAAACCTTTTCTTGAGTTCTTATAATAGTGGTCTTATACAATATTTGTCCTTTTGCGACTGACTAAATTCACTCAGCATAATGCGTTCCAGATTCAAGGCAGATAACTCTTTACCCCATTTCGCAAATGAGCTAACTGAGGCTCCGAGAGGTTAAGTTACTCGCACAAAGTCCACCAGCTCTTAAATGTGGAGCTGAGAGTCATTTTCTCCCAAGACCAGAGCACTTCCCACTGCACCACTTTGCCTCCAGGGACTCCCTGGATTCTGGCCTAGGGCATGCTCCCCCAACCCCACCCAGGGGTGGTAGAGGGCCAGGGGAGACAAAAAGATCAATCCAGAATATTCCAACCGTCTGACATTTCTCCCCAGGCTGGAAGTGCTTCTGGCCTCTGAACCACTGGCTGATGGTAGAGACCAAGTGACCCCACAGGAGGCGCCCAACCCGGAGCAGCTTGAGTTTTGTCCTGAATTACTACACCTGGTTGGGCCGTCAGGCTGAGCAATGTGTTGGGTCAGCAGCAAGATTTCTGTCTGCTGTGGGTCATGTGGGGCATCTGGGGGGCCTTGAGCATTGACCTGCTCTATGATTTTGGGCTGGTCACTTCCCCTTTTTGGGCACTAGCTTCCTGATCCCTAGAATTTTTTGTTGTTGTTAGTGGCTGCCCAGTCAGCCCCACACTGCCCGGTCCTGCACCGTCTCCATGATAGGTTGCAGATCAGACTGTGGTGATCCATAGGGTTTTCATTGGCTGATTTTCCGATGTAGATTGCCAGGCATTTTTTCCTAGTCCATCTTAGTCTGCAAGCTCTGCTGAAACCTGTCCAGCATCACAGCAACATGCAAGCCTCCACTGACAGACGCGCGGTGGCTGTGAGGTGTGTTGGCCGCGTCTCCTGCATAGGAGAGATTTCTGCCACTGAACCACCATGTCCTTTGTTAGCCCCACCTACTACCAGGAGGTGGTGATGAGAAAGGGCTTTGTGCACCGAGGACCCTGGCTGGGGTGGGATGCGGGGGAGGGAGCCAGGAAGAGATTAGAAGCTACAATTTACTGGACCTGGCACTGTTCTGCTTTTACATGTATTAACTTATTTAATTCTCATCACAACCACAGGAGGTGGGGCCACTATTATCCCCATTTCACAGATGGGGAAACAAGCATAGAGAGGTGAAGTAATCCACCCAAGGTCACACAGCTTAAGTAGCAGAGCCAAGATTGAAACCCAGGGAGCTGGCTGTAGCGCAGGGCCCCGAACCAGTGCACTGCCCCGCCGCTTGCTCAGGGGCGTTGTGAAGGGGGCGCAGGGGACTCTTTGCTCTTTCTTTGCCGCTGCTCTCAACACCTCATTTCTGTCCACTGTGGAAGCGGGTTGCGCCTGAGGCCCAGAGAGGTGGAGAGTTTCTGGAAGTGCAGGAACCTGTAGCCACATCAAGCCTGCAGCGAAGCAGTGAGGCAAGAGGACAATGCAGGACCACAGTGTATAGTTGGGCTGGTTGTTCACTGCACAGGGGCTCCTGGGTACAGGGCAAGTGGGCTGAAATCCAGGGGCTCATGAGGCTGTGTGAGTTCTGAAGGGATACCTTTTAATTCACACAAAGCTGCCAAGTGGGTCATGCCTGCCCCTGGGCTAGCTCTCACTCCTCTGGAACCAGGAGGAGGGCAGGATGTGGGGAAGTGAATGGGGCTTCTGGGCAGGCCCGGGGGACACTCATCCCAGCAGGCTGGGGGAGGGGGTCTCAGTCATTGGCCTGAGCGTTGAGAGAGCCGCCTAGACCAGCTTTTACTGGAACACTCAAGGCCTCTGCTGAGGGTGTGCTGCAGTGTTTGTGTTTTCTTGCTGCAGAGGGGTGGGGGACAGTTGGACTCAGCCCCCAGCCCTTTCAAAATGGCAGTCATCAACAGGAAACTACATAGCTGTGCCCGGGGCCCTGGTACACCACTAGGGCCAAGGCCACGCTTTGGTCTGTGCAATCAGTCACAGCTCTGTACTGGGGTTGGGGGCAGGAGGGGGTTCCTGGGAGGATGCTGACGGCTGGAAGCCAGGACCAGGCTT